ACCCTAAAACCCTAAATCCTAAAACTTCTCCTCGCTCTCATTGACCATGAAGGACTCGGCACTGACGACCATGAAGGTCTTATGCTCACGCGGATCCTTGAGGAACATTGGAGGGGCCGGCACTGTCTTGTCCGGCCAGGGAAGGCAAGGCATACCACACAAATGTCCAGGAGCGCCGATACCACAGGCGCACCGAATCAGTTGCTCCTCAGCAGCTGCTGCAGCTGTATGCCTGACAGACAAGACGCACACTAAACCATAAACCCTGAACCCTAAACCCTAAAGATTGACAAGATGCACACTAAACCTTAAACCCTGAACCCTGAACCCTAAACCCTAAAGCGTCCTAAATGCATTCGGGCCTGATTGACAAGATGCACACAAACTTGGAGCATCAAAGACTTGGAGGCTCACGGTACTTAGCAAGCAGATGATCAGCAGAGTTGCAGGTAGTGCCAGAAATAACTCATCACATATATATAGATATATATATATATATGTATATATATATATATATGTATGTATATATATATATAACATATAATATATGATATATAATATATGATCTAATATAATAATAACAATATATATATATATATATATATAGTATCCTCACAGGGCTACGTATCCCAGCTTTAGCTCTACCCTTAGCCTATTTGCAAGTTCGACACTCTCGAGATGCAGTTGTCGAGCAGGAGCAAGGAGCAAGAAGCCCCTGATCCCAAGCAAGAGCTGGGAACGACACAAGCAGAAGAGCGTGCTGCTAGAAGATACTTGGAGGATCATGGGACTTAGTAAGTCTTAAGTAAGGTTATAAGCCCCTTAATTGGGGTTATAAGTACAGTTACTCTAATTATAACCCTACTTACTATATAAGTCCCATGATCCTTTAAGTAGAGTCCTTTCGTGTTAGAAACGGTAGACTGTTTTATCGTTGTAGTACCGAACACATCGTGTTATAAGTTACCCAAGAATCACCACTGTATTAGTCAATGATCCTGGGGTTTGCTACTTTGCAGGAACCCTCCCCCCCCCCTCTCCCCAAAGACCCAAGCCGAACTGCACTCCTGCAAAACATCCGTCAAGTTGCAGCTCGCCTAAGTCTGGCCACAGGAGCGTTCCATCCGGCTTCTGCAGCTGAAGCATGGTCAACCTCATGCTTCTAGGTACGATTACCTGGATACGTTGAGTTGACTATGAACCATCCGATTATGTTTTTGTCATCAGTCTACCCTAGCACAAAACCCCTCAACCCCGATCAGACACCTTAAACTCTGAATCCCTGAAGCTTAAACCCTAAACCCTTAC